GTCTACAATCACCCAAATAGCATCAAATTTCTTCAAAGTCCGAGGGAGTCCGGTAACGAAATCCATAGTGATCCTCTCCCACTTCCACTCAGGAATAACCATCTGCTGGTGCAAGCCTCCCGGTCTCTAATGCTCATATTTCACCTGCTGACAATTAAGACATCGGGCTACATACTCCACAATATCTCTCTTCATCCTCCGCAACCAATAGTGCTGTCTAAGATCCTGATACATCTTTGCGGCACCCAGATGAATGGAATACCGCGGCTATGGGCCGCCTCCAATATTAACTCCCGAAGCCCATCCACATTGGGCACGCAAATCCGGCCCTGCATCCTCAACACACCATTATCTCCAATAGTCACATCCCTGGCATCATCATGCTGAACCCTGTCCTTAAGGACAAGCAAATGCGGATCCTCATACTGACACTCTCTGATGCAGTCATACAAGGAAGATCGAGAAACCACACAAGCCAACACCCGACTGGGCTCTGAAATATCTAGTCTCACAAACCGATTGGCCAAGGCCTGAACATCAACTGGAATGTACGCCAAGCTCCCCATACTCACCGCCTTTCAGCTCAAAGCATCGGCCACTACATTGGCCTTCCCCGGGTGATACAGAATAGTAATGTCATAATCCTTCAGTAACTCTAGCCATCTCCGCTGCCTCAAATTAAGATCCTTTTGCTTGAACAGATGCTGAAGACTGCGATGATCGGTGAATACCTCACAAGGTACGCCGTGCAAGTAATGCCTCCAAATCTTCAATGCATGAACTATAGCAGCTAACTCCAAATCATGAACGGGGTAGTTCTGCTCGTAGGGCTTCAACTGACGAGAAGCATAAGCAATAACTCTACCCTCCTGCATCAAAACACAACCTATCCCAACTCTGGAAGCATCGCAATATACCGTATATGAACCTAAAGCTGATGACAAAACCAATACTGGGACCTCAACCAAAAGCAGCAACGCATCCTAAAACATCATTCAAACTTGCTCCAATCATCAAAACACCTTAAACAACACCAAAACCATCAAATTACATCGGATTCAAGCCTAAGTTCTTCTAAAACTTCCGAAACACGCATTTGATCAAAAACTCAACCAAAACACCTCCGAATGACCTGAAATTTTGCACACACATCCCAAATCACCTAACGAAGCTAGAGCAACTCTCGGAATTCCATTCCGACCCTCGGATCAAAATCTCACCTATCAACCGGAATTCGCCAAAATACTAACTTCGCCAATTCAAGCCTAATTCTACACCGGACCTCCAAAATCACTTCCGATCACACTCCTAAGTCACAAATCATCCCCCGAAGCTAACCGAATCATCGGAATCCTTATCCGAGCCTCCTAACACATAAGTCAACGTCCGGTTGACTTTTCCAAAACAAGCCTTCCTTAAAGAGACTAAGTGTCTCATTTCCTTCTAAAATCAATCCAAATCGACTCGTTCACACAAGACACTTATAATGAAGCATAAAGAAGCAGAAAATGGGGGAAACGGGGCGGTAACTCACGTGACGACGGGTCGGGTCGTCACATCGTAATGAGGAGAAAGTGGCCCATGACTAACAGCCTACTAGCCACTGTGCATCCTGCATTTATATGTAATAAATTTAATATTCATATTTATATTCTCACCATTAATTTGTTAATCCATTCGGTCTAAAATAAGTAATTTTTTGTCTATTTTCACACAGATTAAGGAATCCACCTTTTAACATTAATTAGCAATGAAATTGACCATACTAACCTTTAGTATCTCACATAAACGCACCTAACACATACTCCAACGTTATTTACTTCAAGAGCAATTTACGTAAAAAATAATTAATTCATTCTTGAAATCTACAAAAATCACTTATTTTGGACCATAAAAAAGGATCAAAAAATCAGTTATTTTGTAATTATGAGTTTAATATTTATTAAAATTCGATGAACTTATGATGTTTGAATAATATTAATACATCGACGTAGGCAAGTAATAGGTACCAAATACCAAGGTTTGTGCTCATGTCGTTTTTCTAATTTCTTCACTAACTACAGCACACCAACTTCTTAATCCCACCCACAGTGCAACTTTTTCTTTGGAGTTTTCTGAAAAGGATAATATTTATATTCAGACAAAAAGAATGGAGTTTTGAGGATTTTCTTTTGATTAAAGATTTTGAGGATTAAATTTTAAACAATTTTATTCTTTCCTTTTGTCCTTTTGTCTTTTTATTATCTTGAGCCGAGGGTCTTTCGAAAACAGCCTTACTCCTTCGGGGTAGGGGTAAGGTCTGCGTACACACTATCCTCTCCAGACCCCACTTGGGGGGATTTTACTGGGTTGTTGTTGTTGTTGTTGTTGTTATTTTTTGCACAAAACTCTACTTGTTTAATAGTTTTAGAATAAATTTTACATATTTAAAATCTATGCGGTTATTCTAATTTTTTATAAAATGATATAAATATATTTATTTATAATAAGTTGAAAATTTTCGTAGTAAAAAGTGTTAGGACCGAGTATCTAATATAAATAAATAAAAATTTCTTATCATAAACTTTACACTTGAATACACTTGTCACAAATTCTAGTTTATTTAATTAATGTCGGCTCATTAAGCTTTCATATGCCAAGTTGCTAGTGAGTTGAATGGTCTGAAACCAAAGTAGATCCAGCTGACAAAGCAGAAAAAGTAGAGCCCCTTCTTCTCACCAGAAATTTAGAAAAGGAAAAAAAAAATCAAATGATCAAATGATCTAAACAAAATAGACCTTAAAGTGAAAGAAAGGAGGAGATTACATGTCAACTGTTTACATTATTAATTTATCCATAAATCTTAATAAAAAAAAGAAAAAATAAAAGAAGCAGGAACGTTGAAGCATCAGGTATAAGAATCATAAATTTTTTGGCTACATTGGTAAAATATAGAGTGAGAAGTAGTGTATTTGTAACATGAATGAATCTCCTTACCTTAGAATGTCACGACCCGGAATTTTCACCCTCGGGAGTTGTGATGACGCCTACTCGTAAAAGCTAGGCAAGCCATGAACTTTGAAATCATTAACCTTTTTCGTATTAAATCGTCTTTAACCAATTAAACTAGAAATGAATTAGCATTTTACGAACAGCGGAAATAAAATTAGCGGAAGTCTTAATTAAATATAGAAACAAACGTCTAGAAAACCGATACAGTCTCTACCCAGCACCTGGTGTCACAACACACACGGACTATCTAGGAGTGCTACATACAAGTGTTTGAACAAAAGAAATAAAGTCTGTCTCGGATACAAGAGGAAATAGAGCATCAAATTAGATAGAAGAGATGTCGGGNGTCATTTTTTACTTATCTGTTGTAGTATTTCCATAATTGTTTTATTGGTTTACTGACTTATTACTACTTGGTTTAAATTGCTGTATTTATAGAATTACTTTGTGCCTATTCAGGATTTCTTATTCTCAGCCTTTGTTTATGTTTATTACTCAATGGGTCGGAGTACTCACATTACTCCCCGCACCTTGCGTGCAGATCCAGGTACATCTGAGGCTGAGTGAGGACTTCTCTGCCGAGTAGCATATCCGGGAGTATCAAGGTAGCTGCATGACGTCCGCAGTCCTGATCTTCCCTTCTATCTTATTGCTTTATTTCCGCATTTCTTTAGAACGATATGTAGTAGGTTGATACTCATGTATTAGGGGCTCAGACTCGTGACACCAGATTCTTCGGGCTGTGTAGTAGTATTGATATTTGGGATTTCCGCATGTTTTAACTCCATTTCAGAATTTCAGCATTATGACTTAGTAATTTGTCTGTGTTAATTAATTCATGAACTGGATAAAAATGGTTAAGGTTATTAAATTGGTCGGGTTTGCCTAGCAGTGTGTTGGGCGTCATCACGACCGGGGTTGGGGTCGTGACAACAAATTACCTCCATGCCATGTTGCACGTAATGTTGCATCACCAGATGATGAACCTCCTCACAGTCACTCAGAGGGTGACTCCTCTGAACTCCATGAGGATGCTGTAGAGCCTTCAATTGATTCTCCTGCTGATTCAGTAGTCATCCATGCTGAGCCAATATCCTCTATATTGCCTACTGCTGAACCTGTTGCCAGTAGAAGATCTAGCAGGGACAGCAGACCACCAATTTGGTTGAAAGACTATGTTACTCACAACAAAGGCAAGGCCCATTATTGCTACCCTATTTCTGCATGTGTTAGTTATGATCAGGTTTCTTCTTCTTTTGGAAATGCCTTGACAGCATACTCTGCCATCATAGAACCTCAAACCTTTGCTGAAGCAGTCAAGGATCCCAAGTAGATAGCTTCCATGATGAGTGAAATCTCAGCTCTAGAAGAGAACATCACCTGGAGTATAATTCCTTTACCTTCGGGGAAGGTACCAATTGGCTGCAAGTGGGTGTTTAAAGTTAAATACACCTTTACAGGTGCAGTTGAGAGGTATAAGGCCAGGCTTGTTGCCAAGGGGTATAGTCAACAGAAGAGTGTTTATTACATTGAAACATTCTCTCTTGTGGCCAAAATGGTCACAATGAGATCTGTTCTAGCCATTGCTGCTGCCAAGCAGTGGTACATATTAGATGGATGTCCATAATGCGTTCCTACATGGGGAATTACTTGAGGAAGTCTACATGGAGGTTCCTCTTGGGTTTGCCAACCAAGGAGGGAAACAGATGGCTTGCAAACTTCACAAGTCTTTATATGGACTTAAACAAGCCCTTAGACAGTGGAACAAAAAACTTACAGATGCTTTGACACAACTTGGCTTCACTTAAAGTCACTTTGACTATTCATTATTTACAAAAAAGGTGGAGACAGATTTGGTGATAGTGCTGGTGTATATGGATGACCTGTTGGTCACATGAAGTAGTCCTAGTCTAAGCATGCAGACTAGAAATGACTTGAAGTTGAAGATCAAAATGAAGGACCTAGCTAGGGGAACTTAAGTTTTTTCTAGATCAAAGAAAGGGATAGTTATGACTCAAAGAAAGTATGCTTTGGAGCTGATTGTAGAGTCAGGACTTGGTGGTACCAAACCTGCTAGTACACCCTTGGGGACCAGTTCAAAGCTTAGTTCTGTTGAGTTTGACAGTTTCATGAACAAAGACTAATCTAGTGAAGCTAATGTAGAGGACAAAGAGCTAGAGAATGCTGGACCTTATCAAAAACTGATTGGTAGACTTTTATATCTCACTATGACTAGAATTGATATCTCATATGTAGTGCAGGTGCTCAGCCAGTTTATGCATAAACTTAAGCAATCTCATATGGATGCTGCTTTAAGAGTAGTTAGATACATCAAGACTGCTCCAAGTCTTGGTCTGTTGATGCCCTTAAAAGGCTTAGGAAGACTTGAAGCCTATTGTGACTCAGGCTGGAGTGGATATTTGCAAACTAGAAGATTTGTTACAGGATATGTAGTCAATTTTGGTGATGCTTTAATATCCTGGAAGTCAAAAAAGCAGGAGACAATTGCCAGAAGCTCAGCAGAAGCAGAATTTAGGAGTATGGCATCAACAGTTGCAGAGTTAACTTGGCTTACAGGACTATTTTCACAATTGGAATTGAGCTGCCCCTACCTATAAACTTACATTGTGACAGCAAACTGCAATTCAGATTGAAGCTAATTCTATATTCCATGAAAAAACCAAGCATATTGATATCGATTGTCACTTTGTGAGGGAAAAAAATATGCAAGGACTGATCAAGACTCATCATGCTCCTACCAAGGAGCAACAAGCTGATTTACTGACAAAGAGTATTGGGAAAGTACATCACGACTATCTACTGTCCAAGCTGAAGTTGAAAGACCTGTTTCAACCATCAGCTTGAGGGAGGGTGTTGAAATATTAGGTGTATAGTTAGTGGAATGTACAGCTGGATGCCAGCTAAGCTAAGTTAGTGGAAGGTTTAGTTTGTTAAGTAGGTGTATTAGTAGCTAACTTGTTGTTTGTATATATACACGGTTAGTGTACGTTGTCTGTAATAGAAAATAACAGAAAATGAAGGAACTCTTTCTTCTCCATTAGCGTGTAGCTGCTTCTCCTTCATTCTCAGCTTAGCAGCTCAGATTAGATCTAGGATTTCATCATTTTTTTTATTTATCTCTCTCGAAAACATATCATATAACTAAAATAACATATTGCAATAGATTACGAAATAGAATCTCCCCTTTTGTACATTGCCAATCATGTTTCACGCGACCAATAAATACTACTCTTTGAAAGAATAAGTTTCATGACATTTTATGCTCATATGGCTAATCAAATATAATTCACTAGTTCTTGTCTGAGATTGATACCCTTATTGTGTTGTAGGCCATTTCAAGTTTGCTTGACATTATATTGATGGACCTCGTGCTATTTTGCTAATACCTTGACCATCATAATTCTGCACAACATTACTTTTCTCATTGTTGCATGTAACATCACTTAATAAGTTATGGTATTTTGCTTAATGTTTCTTTTCTAAACACTGTTAGAAAAATAGTGAATAAGGTATCTCAAAAGGAAGTGTCTAGAATCATATTTTGTGAAAGTGTCTAGATTCATTCTATTAACATTAGTGTCTTTATTATTTCATGCAATAATGGGTCATTATTCCATATTTTTAATTGTTGGACCATTACTCACCCATTATAACATTTTGATTTCCTTCACCTATACACATTCTTTGTGCCAGATACTAAATATACAGAAAATACTCTCCTTCCTCCTGCTTGATTTTCTACCAAGCTGAATAAATTTTTGTTAGTTTATGCTCCTAGTTTTATACTAGAAGGGCTTGTTGAATCCTTGGGGATACAACCAAACCGGGTAAAATATCCTTAAGGACAATGTCTTTGATACGCCTCAAGCTTCGAAGAATTCCCTACAGGTTTCATGATGAAGTATTTTCCGTAAGATTTACAACATTCTTAAGGATATTTCACTTTGTTCTTATGAAGAATACTACTTATGGAATTCTGATGGACTTTAAAGACATATGGTGATATCTTCCACTTGATATGTTTTTGCGTAACGTTATATCTAAGTATCAGGTATGCATAATTCAACTAATATATACCTCTTCAACATTTATTCTTTATGCTTATTCTCGTGAGAATTTTAATTGGCACATAAATTTTTGTCTTAAGATGATAAATATAATCTCCTTTAATTTTATTAGTATTTCGGGCTATGCGTTAATTTTTGTAATGTATTTGTAGCGTGTTATTATGTATGTGCATTATGTATTGTAAAAGAAAATGTACGTTATTTCGTTAGTCTTATAAGAGACACTTTTGTAGTTCTCTTTATCTTGAATGTTTTGAATTTCCTCTCTTAAAATTACAAAAAGGCAATATGTTATTTGTTTTGAGCAGTGGTAAAATTTAATTTTATAACGCATCAATATTTTATAGTTTACTTATATTGCTAGAGATCATAAGTGAACTTTTGAGTGATTCTAAATTAAAAGAACTCATATATGATATCATTGTCGATTACTTTTTCCGCCCTTGCCTTGCTGAAATAATTTTTTTAATGTCAATAAGAGCCTTACGAAATTTGTGATTCTTGTGGCGACAGTATGTATATTGGAGAGCCAAAGTATATTGCATTTTGGTGGAAGTACTTTATGATCTAAAAACAAACTTTGCTTATCTCTTGATCATTTGGGTGAATGTTAAATAATGACTGATTTTTCTTCATATAACTATGAGTTAATTATTTTTGAGATCAAAATTTATTGGAAATAATAATTATCTTGGGGGGCACACTAAGCCATCATATATTTTTCAATGTAGAAGAGGATTCGATATAAATGATAATCCTGCAAAGTCAAAAATGAATTTGACTGAGCGAATGACATAATTGTTGTGGTCATTTGTCAAGTGAATCTTATGGCTAATGCAAGAGATTGGGTGTTAGACTCGTGTGCTACTAAGCAGATTTGTGCTAATAAAGTTAATTTTGTGTCCTACACCCATCTTGAAGAACAAGAAGAATGATTTATTTATTTTGGTGATTCAAGAACTACTCAAGTTCTTTGAATGGAAAATTTCTTTTTAAACTCAATTCTGAAATTTTTTGGCATTAGTTGGGTGATCCATAACTTTAATATTCGGATAAATTTGGTGTTGGGATATATACTATTAACCATGAATTTGGTTTAGATATAGTATTTATTATGATATAATTGTTCATTCAATTTTTATAAAGTTTTAAATAGATCATATATTAGTCTGTGTCATTTGCTTATATAGTAGATGATTTAGTGTATAGAGTTTAGCTTATACATGGAAGATTAAATCATCGGTTCTTATAAGTATAAAGTTTGAGTTCACAATCTAATGATGGAATTGGAAAAACCATCAGGAATGATTGTAGCACAATATTAAATATAAGTTATCTTGATTATGAGAATGGTTTAATTCCAACTTCTTGTGCTAGTGCATTTTGTATGTATTGAACGGACCAAGTAGAGATAAGTATTTTATATTGACTTAATTAAATAAACNGACACGACTACCACATAAACCTGTACAGTTATATATATATATATATATATATATATATATATATATACAACGGGAAAATAACAAGAACAAACATTTTAAAGGGGAGGGGAACATACTTCGGGGATAGCAGATATTATAGTATTTCAAGAAAATAAAACATCAATAATATAACTCTAACACGGATAAGGGAAATAAAAGCAGATTTCACTGTCAGTACATATCTCGTTGCAGGCGTGCAACCCGATCCCATTTCTCATATCCTGTGGTAGGCGTACCACCCGCTCCCGTTTCATTATATCTTGTGGTAGGCGTACCACGCGCTCCCATTTCATCATATCTTGTGGTAGGCGTACCACCCGCTCCCTTTTACAGTTCATCAGACAATTACAAGAAATCCCGGCAAGGGAATCATAAGCATTATAATAACTTCCCGGCAAGGGAACAAAAGCAATATAATAATTTTCCGGCAAGGGAACAACAATATCGAACAGTCATCCCGGCAAGGGAGAATCAGCTATAACCAATCTTAACTTAGCTTGTACAAAGCTCAATTAATGACAATGCTCAATCATAAATCAGATCTACTAGGATAAAACAAATCTTTGCTTAATATAGAAGATCATTAATTAAAGCATTCAGAATGTCATTTAAGAACACAACTTTCAATTTTAAACTCACGATCATGCTCGACACCAACGTATAGATACTCGTCACCATGCCTATACGTCGTACTCAACAAGTAGCAAGTAGCAAATATGACTCAATTCCTAATCCCTCAAGCTAAGGTTAGACCGAACACTTACCTCAAACTTCCACGGCCAATTCAATCCTCAATTACCGCTTTTCCTCTCGAATTTGGCTCAAACCCAATCGAATCTATACATAATTGACTTAATAACATCAATAAATGCTAAACAATCCAATTCCAATGCCTAATTATAGCTTTCCAAACATTCTTCCCAAAAACCCAAAAAATCGACCCCGGGCCCGCTTGGTCAAAATACGAGGTTCAGACCAAAACCCGATCACTCATTCACCTACGAGCCCGAATATATAATTTGTTTTGAAATTCGACCGCAAAACGAGGTCTAAATTACAATTAATCAAAAAGCCCTAATTCTACCCAAATCCCTAATTTTTGCCATGAAAATTCTTGATTTTCGATTGAAAAGTAATGAAAAACATTGGGTAATCGAAAGAGAAGAGTTTAGAATTGTTTACCAACACTTTGGGTATGAACCTGTGTGAAGAAAATCGCTTCTAGGTCTTTTTAGTTCGAAAATATGAAAAAATGGCTGCTTCCCGAGTTGGATTCTGTGATTTTTTTTTGAAGAAACAGCGTGGAGCACCAGTGCACCAAAAATTGTTATGACAACAGTTTTTTTTATAAGTTAAAAACATCCCGAAGCCTACCCGAAACTCGCCCGAGCCCTCGGGGCTCCAAACCAAACATGCACACAAGTCTAAAAACATCATACGGATTTATCCGTGCGATCCAATCGCCAAAATAACCTCAATAACGACGAATTAAACCTCAAAATCAAAGAACTTTTCTTAAACTTCATAAAACATCAACTTTAGCAATTTAGGTCCGAATCACGTCAAACGACATCCGTTTTTCACCAAATTTTACAGAAATGTCTTAAATCATATAAAAGACCTGTATCGGGAGCCAGAACCAAAATACGGACCCGATACCACCATGTTCTAATCAAATTTCATTTCAAATTTCCTTAAACAATTTCGAAATATAATTTCCTTTAAAAATTTATTTCTCGGGCTTGGGACCTCGAATTCGATTCCGGGCATACGCCCATGTCCCATATTTTCCTACGGACCCTCCGGGACCGTCAAATCATGGGTCTGGGTCCGTTTGCCCAAAATGTTGACCAAAGTCAAATTGTTCATTTTAACATCAAAAATTAGCATCTTTCATAGAATTTCATATTTAAGCTTTCCGGCTATGCGCCCGAACTGCACACGCAAATCGAGGCAATTCTAAATGAGGTTTTCAAGGCCTCGGAAGCACAGAATTTGATTAAAATCAGGTGATACATTCTCCACCTCTAAAACAATCGTTCGTCCTCGAACGGACAGAAGAAGGAAGTACCTGAGTCGGGGAAAAAATGAGGATAACGGCTCCGCATATCGGACTCGGGCTCCCAGGTTGATGCCTCAGGAGGCTGACCTCTCCACTAAACACGAACAGAAGGAAAACTCTTCGACCTCAACTGACGAACCTGCCGATCTAGAATAGCCACCGGCTCCTCCTCATAAGACAAGTCCTTGTCCAATTGGACAGTGCTGAAATCTAACACGTGGGATGGATCGT